GTAATATAAGATATATAATATATATAATATTTGATATTTTAATTTATTTAAACACCAAGCATTACCTCATCATCATCATCCAGTCTTACTCTCTTCAGAGCAACTATCTCTTGAGTTTCACGATTTTTCGCTTTGAAGACTGTTCCATAAGTGCCTGGACATAAAATAAACAAATCAATTGGGGATGTATATACATAGTATCTTCTAATCTCTAATAGTCTAATCTTCTAATCTAATAGATAAATTAACATTAGAGTCTAATCTATCTATCTATTGCTATTCTATCTTTATGTAAATATATGTAACATTGTAACTTTTTTATACTCTATATTATGCTTAATTGCCCATTATCAAGGAGATATAATTGGTTTTTTTTAGTTTGTTGTTTTTTAATAAATTTAATTAAATTTAAATAATCAATGAACAAGAACCATTAATGCCCTAATTGAATATTGGATTTTTGTATGGGTTTTTTGTTTATTAATTAAATTAATTACAGTTGATAATTAATTAATTATTTGTTAATTAAATTATTAATTTAATGAAAAATTAATTTTAATGGAAAAATATTAAAATAAGCCGGCGAAATGATATGAAAATTCGTTTATTGATATAATTAAAGAAGATCATCTATTGAGATGAAAGAAAGTAAAAATGCGATAAATTTCAACACTCATGAAACCCCGGACTCACCTTCGCCGATCTTCTCCAGTTTTTCGTACTTTTGCATAATTGTAATGATTAAAAATGAATGTAAATAGTAGAGGAAATTTAAAAGGTAATTTGACTCCGTCGTTCGTGCATCGAGAAAAACAATCTATTTTACTTAATTTTTTTTACGTTACATTTTAAACAGCATTTATTTAATTCCATATTTTTTTTGTCCTTATTATGCAGCTCTCAGAAACGCAATCGCTCACAAATTGTTCTTCATTCACGATATTTGGCTACAATGTGGCGACAAGAAGGTTCTATATCTTAAACCCATAAAAGTGTGTACTTCCAAACGCATGGATATGCACGCGCAAGTACCCCTTGCGTACAAGTTAACAACAGTTTGAAATTTAATGAAATTTAATGGTGACTGGATTCGAGCCAGGTCAGCATGCAACACCGAGCAAGATGAGTTAGACTCCTAAAGCTCAAATAAAAGTCACTAAGTGGTGACACTAATATAAAACAAACCAAATGCAATTTTTATTTTTCTCTTTTATATAAACTGCGTGCCTTGATTTAAGGAATATAAGGAACCGACAAAACACTATGATGGCCTCTGACGACTCATAAATTTACAAAGCGAAATCAATCAATCAATCAATTAGCTTGTAAAGCGCTATTTCCGCAATGTTCAAGAGCGCTCCTCAATGAATTTGGCAAACAGATGGGTATTGAGATCCGCTCTGAACTTCGTAAGTGGTGGAAAAGTAGTCAGAGAAGTAAGTAGAGAGTTCCAGAGAAAAGGACCAAAAAAAGCAAAAGCAGATTTAGCAAAAGAGTGTCTAACACGAGTTAAGAAGAAGCGATAACAAGAAGACGATCGTAAACCGGGGCGTTTAGGTTCAATTAATATATCTGATAAGTACTTAGAAAATAACATGGTATTGTTAATTTATTATCGTATCTAGATGATGTAATCTGTTGTATATGCTATGCTGGTGCAAAAAACGACAACCTGCTCAACCGCTTCTAAACTTCTTTGATCGATTCGAAGCTTTTCATTCTTTGTCCGTAGATTTCTTTTGTAATGCCATCGTTTGAAGTTCTCTCTCACCCATCGAGTAATAAATTTTTAATATTTAAACATTAAAAACAATTAAAAATTGTTGTTACAACCAAGTTAAATAATTCTGACTGTCATTTCAATGTGCAATGCTATTTACAAATTTATTGTTGGAAATTTCAATCGGCTGCTTGCTCCTAAAACAAACGATGTCCACGAATGGGATATACCTCGATGATATTTTGTGTTACTTTTAATGAATGTAGAGAGTGGAAATAGCTTACGAAAGAAAACACAAAATGAAATGACAAAAATATGACAAAAATTGAATGCAGAGCCACATATTGACTGGTTGTTGGGAATGGGAAGTTAAAGCTCCATGAGAAGGAAGTCGATACTTGTTCAGCAACTTCTGTTGTGGCCAGAAGACAGTTAATATTTTGAGGAAAGAATCGACGAATGACTTTAATTTGTTAGATGCTTCCTAAGCGCATTTCAACATGAACAAAAGAAAGTAAAAAATTTGTTTAGTTGTTTCGATGTTTTTTTTTCAATATTTAAAAAATTTCGACTCGAGTAAAAATGAACTAAATATAATGAAGTCAGATTTGGTATTTTTTTTATTTTTCAAGTGAATGAATTACTGTAATATATTTCAATTTTTCATAAAACGAAATAACTTTTTTCAAATGAATTGTTAAATTAATAAAATGAATTTAAAAAATTTGACAATTCCAACAGCCAAGGATATTTATCTCCTCGCTCTGCATCTTCTACTTTAAATTCTGTCGACGCCATTGCAAGTGTTGACTTAATTGAAAAAGAGGAGTTTTAAGTACTTTAAGCATTGAATATAAATTGGTGAATGATTCAAAAAAACTAGACGTACATATATTAGACATATATACACATAAAGACACTCAAACAAATTTACACACACACACACACCTCACACACACATACAAACAAACACACACACACACACACATATATATATATATATATATACATATATATATACATATATATATATACATATATATATATATATATATATATGTATATATATATATAAATTTAATTAAAAGTATTCAATATATATTTATTTAAATATTACTCAATTTATTTATTTATTACGTATATGTTATTTATTATTTATCAGCTTTAAGAGATGCAGTCTTAATATTCTGTCGATGTTATGTTGTGATTATGGAGTAATCAAGGCTGTGATGATGATGATGATGATCACGGTGAGGTAGATGATGATGATGATGATGATGATGATGGTGAAATTGGTGGTGATGTTAATGAAAAAGATGATGAAAGTGATGATAGTTTTGGTGAAGTTGATGAGGCTACTGCTCTTGCTGTAGACAATGATGCTGATGATTTTTAATGACGGCACATTCAATGATTAAAAGAGTATCGAGGGTGTTGTCCGCCACAAAGAGAACAACGATAACGTTGATAAAATATAGAAAAATAAAATCAATATCGATGATAGAGCAAAAGTTGAAGTCACATTTGACGATGCACATGACGCTCGAACTACAACAAAAACAACAGCAGCAACGTTTCGGAAAGGGTAAAGATAATTAAGGTTGAAATGGAAAGTTGAAATGAAGAACGAGCTCGTTGATAAGGAGAAGATGGCGACGATGAGGATGATTGCCTTTAAATGCGTCCCCGACGATCGTAACGTGAACATCTTTCTGCTTGGTTTTTTAAACTTCAAATTCTTTAGACTTTTTGGCTGCTGATATTTTTGGTTGTTCTTTATGTTGTCGTTTATAATGGCGTTTATGTCATTACTTTGTTCATTTTTATCTCTTTTGTTTAGTTGAGTCGAACCGTATGTGTCTGGCATGGCATCATCGTTGTTGTCATCATCAACAGCATCAACGTCGTCGTCGTCGTCTCCATCTTTCTTAGTGTCCCGGTCAGCATCGTTGAGGCTCCGATGAGCGCTGGGGTTGTTGTTGTTCGCATGTTTGTCGTGGCTGCGTCGTTTCGAGTTTGCTAGCTGTTGTTGTTGCTGTTGTTTCAGTTGGTGGTGATGATGGAGGTGGTTCATCATGGTCTCGTTGCCGATGATGTTGTTGATGTTGTTGGCTGGATGAACGTTCTGGTTGGCTGATTGGATTCTTTGTGTATCTTAATGAAGTCGTATTTTTCATTTTAAAAATCCTCAATGACTTTCAAACTGTGCGCCATTATTTTCTATCCCGTTATAAATTAATTTGCACCTATAATAATAACTTGCAGCAATAACTTTCATCATTAAAAGTGCTAGAACATCACAAAAACATACTTTTTATTCATAAGCAATACCTACAATTAGTTAACAATTTAATTTTCTAAGAATTGCTGAGAAAATATTTGTTGACAAAACTTTTGCGAACCTTCTACGCAACCACTTAGTTTAAGTGCAGTATATCTTTAGATCCTTACGTGTGTCGTTCATTGTTTGACGTTCGGACACTTATTAAGTGATGTGCTCATTGGTGTAAACCATTCTATTCACCAACATCACCACCAACAACATCGTCATCAACATCGATCTCTTAGTGAATTAACTGACCTTCAAATTGTTGCAACTGCACCCTGGCAACTGACGATCCAATCGCGTTGGTGACCTTGAACTTGAACTTTCTGAAGTCAGTCATCTTTACTTGCCTGACGTACAACATGGCTTCCAGGGTCCCATTCCCGCTGTCCTGTAGATTTTTTTTTGTGAAGATCGATGCTTTTTAAAAGTTGTCTCTGTTGTTTGTGTTATTTATGTTGTTGTTATTGTTTTGCTATTGTTTTTATAATTGTTGCTTTTGTCCTTTTGTTGTTATTACTTATGTTGTTGTTATTGCTTATGTTGTTGTTATTGTTTATGTTGTTATTGCTTACGTTGTTGTTATTGCTTATGTTGTTGTTGTTGCTTATGTTGTTGTTGTTTTTTATGTTGTTGTTGTTTATGCTGTTGTTGTTGCTATTACCTATATCTGCCACTGCTGAATTTTTCAACTTCTATTACCGTTATAGAGGTGTTGTTGTTGTTGGAGTTTTATTGCTTTTGCTGGTAATGCTTAACAGAAGAACAACGCATGGGAGAATAAATCGTACCCAATAATGTTATTGGACAAGAAAAACTGAAATGTGTGTTGATAAGTTGGTTGGACGTGATGAATGCTGATGAAAATGTTGTTTCCAAGTGATTAATGATTTTGCTTCGGTTAGGTGGTCCGATTATTGATTAGATTGATTAATATAACAACCATGATCATTCAATCTTTTACAAATTATTTCCTTAAAAAAATTATGACAGAACAAATTAAATGACTATGCATTGCTTATCAAACAGGCACCAAATGAATGACTGAATGAATGAATGACTAAATGAATGAATGAATGAATGAATGAATGAATGAATGAATGAATGAATGAATGAATGAATGAATGAATGAATGAATGAATGAATGAATGAATGAATGAATGAATGAATGAATGAATGAATGAATGAATGAATGAATGAATGAATGAATGAATGAATGAATGAATGAATGAATGAATGAATGAATGAATGAATGAATGAATGAATGAATGAATGAATGAATGAATGAATGAATGAATGAATGAATGAATGAATGAATGAATGAATGAATGAATGAATGAATGAATGAATGAATGAATGAATGAATGAATGAATGAATGAATGAATGAATGAATGAATGAATGAATGAATGAATGAATGAATGAATGAATGAATGAATGAATGAATGAATGAATGAATGAATGAATGAATGAATGAATGAATGAATGAATGAATGAATGAATGAATGAATGAATGAATGAATGAATGTTAGCAGATAAATAACTTGTATAAAATCATAATGATTCGTTTAAAAAACTAGTTGGAATTGAACAGCATGTTTATATAATTTCATCTAGAAAGTCCATCTACATTTCTTCAAGGCGATGATCACTTCCCACTGATCACTTTGGTCTCCGTTTGTTAATGATTCTTGGAAAAAACAAAAACAAAACAATATTTTTTTACTGTCGCACGCACATGGTGGTGGTGGTGATTGATCAGGAACTGAAAGTTTTTGATGTATTATCTGTTTTTTGATGACTACATGGAACTAATTACATTAAAATAGCTGCAGCAACAACAACAACGAACAATAACAGTAATAATATTAATAACAAATAATAGAATTTAATTTATTGTGTATAATATATTTTATTATTTATCATAAAATGTAATTAAAATTTTTTCATTACACATTTTTTGATAAAATAACTTATTTTTTTTTAAATATTGTACTGTATCGGCTAATATTTCAGAAACCATGAGAAAAAATCAAATTAACGGATTGATTTTTTTTGTATGTAAAATTTCAAGGGACATAAAATATTCGTTATATAAAGGTTTTTGTTGTATAGACATTCGCTATAAGGAAGTCCAACTGTGTTTTGAGCAGGGCATCGAACCGGAACTGAACATTAACTAAAAACCGTTAAAAAACCAAAATTTTGCTCGAAACAAAAACTGTAACCGAACCGAAACTGTAACGAAATAAATAATGGTTCGATGCTAAAAATTAAAAAAAAATATTTTAGTTGAATTCAGAAAAAAAAATTTAGATAATATTTCGTCTTTTGAAATTTTATGTTCATTTTTATCATCTTTAAAAATTTGTTATCTCTCTTTTCGTTTGTTTTTCCAACTGAGTTCGCCGATAATTTGAGTAAGAATTGCCACGTGAAGTGAAATTCAGTATAATCTGAAAAATTAGAGATCAAGTACGATCATCTTCAAAATTTTGAAGTACCAGCTACACAAGTGAACCTGGAAACATCTGTTTTTAGAGTAAAATTTATTCTCAGAGACTGCAAAAGTGGTTTCAATTTAAACATTTTAGAAGATATATTATTGATAATAATCAGAATTTTTTTTATCTTTTTTTGAAACAATCTTATATTTATATGGGTGATTTCAAAATATCATTGTAATAATTGTTTTAATTTGTTGAAAAAAAATATTAGAAACGTTTCCTATCATTTAAAAATAATTTTTTTTATTGATTTCTTATTATTCACAATTTAAAATTTAATTCAAAATGGCATTGTGGTGATTGTTGGATGTCCGTTACATGCGTTTAAGGAGCTATGCTTGAAAAAACTAAGTTTCGGAGCGAAACCGAAAACTAAAAAAACCGATATTATTTCAGGAACGAAAACCGGAACCGAACAAAATTCGTTTGGCTGATTGAACCGAAACCGTAAACCGAAACTATCTGGTTTTGACTATCGGGCGGCGTGAGAGCTTAATGGTTAAGGTCGCCTGGTGCCGTTTCGCAGTAACCGGGTTCGAATATGACAAAAAGATCCCCGCCTATCACATGCTTTGTGTGTGATGCGTTGTTTAACACGTATTCATATACGATGTTTGTGGCGGTTTGTTTAATTCTGGAGGAGTTTAATTGACCTTTAACCTTTTATTTTGAAATATTTAATAATAGATATAAAATTAGAAAAGTATATTCTCTGGTCACATTTCTTTGAATCAAATTATAACTTTTGTATTATTGATTACATTTGTATAATAACTTTTTTTTATATTTTGCAAGGGAAATTACTAAGATAGATAAGTGAGTTTTTCTTAACGGAGATAGAAATTTAGATGACAAGCTGGATGATCTGGCATACATAGATCATGCATTTTCGCCTCATATTAACCGTTCCAATGCCTGTTTTCGCTTGCGACGCAGAAGAAAAAAGTGCACGAAAAAAATGAATTGAAAAACTAAAAAATAAAAAAATAGCACAAAGAAAAATATTAAAAAATGTTGCAAGAAAGGGAGTCGATGAAATAAAAATTAAATAATGGCCATTCTGGCTGCAACATCAAAAGCAACATCGTCTGCGGCAAACCGCGCTGAGAATTAATTTTTAATAATCCCAACATGTTTTATCATTAATGTTTCGTATTATTAATACAAATAAAAAATAGTTATTACTGAACAATAATTCAATTGTTAATTAATAATATCCGCAACACATTTCTGCTGCTTGATCTATGAGATTTATTGTCGTACGTTCGAAACGTGGCAATCATATTCTCACACACACACAAAAACATTCAACATTCTGATTCAACAAAGTTTCAATTTTGAAGGGGTCTACAATTGTTTACCTCGTAATTTGTAGTGGACCCACCGACGAAGGTCAAGCTGTATCTTTCCGTTGTTGCCTATTTAATTTATTGCTTTTTGAAATATAAAAGGAAGCAAAAGTAATGATGGAATGGGGAGTGCGTTAAATTTTTTTCAAGTTCAAGTTTACGTAAAAAATTTTGATTGTCCAACAATTACGATCGCACTGTAATAAATTTTCCTTCATTATTATATTGCACATGCACAGGTCGTTACAACTGTTAATCATGTTTGTATAATTGTACAACTGCAGCTACATAAAATATTATATTATTATAGGCATGGAGCAGCAAACACTCTGGTCACCATGTAACAGATGCTAAGATTAAACGTTGTTTACGTTGTTTATGCTGTTGTTGTTGTTTTGTTGTTGTTTTGATGTTGACAATGCCATGTAATTCATTGCAAAGCGGAGAAGAAGCGCGGGACCAAGTAGATTTCATGAAAGGGAGAAGCTATCGCAACTCATTTTATTAATATCGCCGGTGATGTTTTACATTGTGCAGTGCAGTGCTCGTTGTTCGCCATGTTGTTCTGATCGTGTAGATGCGTAGTTTATTATAGTTGTTGGCTGTGGCTGTTGGTGGTTGTCGCTGGCTGTAGTTGTTGTTGGTGGTGTGGTGTGGTTGTTGGTGGTGTAGTGTGGTTGTTGTTGTTGGTGATGTTTTAATTTTTGTCAATGATGAGTATTTCCATTCATCGTGTTGTTTTATGACAAGGTTTTGTGGCTTTCCTCAACTTTATATTTAATAGCAGAGTTATTTTGCTCATACGTGGAGTGGACTTGAATATATAATTTTTATTATACACATACAGTCGTACTTTCATGTATAGGCACATACGCAAATAGACAAACGCATTTTACGTGGTTCTAGATTATGTTACTGTTATACTATTTCTGTCCTCAGAATGATCAACAGTCATCATAGAAGTTGCTTTTTACACAGTTGTACATCGTTGCTACATTTGTTGAGGTGGTGGTTGTTACTGTTACTCAGCTTTATTTCTGCTACTGTGTGGACGGATGATTTGAATTTCCGTGCAGTTGCTGGGCATCGTCTTGTTTGCGTAACGAAATCAAAACAGTTCTGGAGTTTGGTTTTTGTCAATGAAATAAACATTTGTAATAACAGGTTGAAAGGTTGTAGTTCATAAGTTGGCGATGATGGTGATGATGATTATGGGGATGATATCAATTAATTATTGCGACTTTTTCGACAGTAGCAGCAGTAACCACAACAATAACAATAGCAATAATAACAACAACAACAATAATAATAATGATGATGATGATGATGATGATAATAATAATAATAATAATAACAATAGCAATAATAACAACAACAATAATAATGATGATAATAATAATAAAAATGGGTACGACTTTCATTTAAACCATAAGAACATTCAATATAAAGGAAATAGGATGGAATGAAATAATTATTAAAATGAAATAAAATAAATTTATGACAACAATGATAGGGAAGACTAGAAACATGCATACGGCTATGACATTAATGATTAAGGAAGCCATTCACTCCTTTCCCGCCACGAGTATAATGAGTTCAAAACGGCAACAAATTAATCACAAGTCGTTTCTTCCACAATGCACAGCAGGTACTGTGTGATGAATTATATTTCCAGTAAAATTAGATTGTTTTTGAAAGATTCAGGATAAAAAATATTAATTGACAGTAAATTAAATTTATTAGAAAAACCTGCTAGTAATATTTCAAATGTTTCAACAGTTAGTTTGCATTGTTTAAAATTTTCTTCATGGTTGACTTTGAGGTTGTCTTTGTATTTATTGGTCCAGTTTGGTTTCATTGCAAATAGCAAGTTCAAGAAACTCAATAGTGTTCCCGGACGTAGTCATTCGAACGTGGTTGATATTGGACTTAGTTTCTTTTCAACGTTTTGACCAGCATAAATAAGCAGCTAGATGAAAAGTGTCTGTTGGTTTGCTGGCTGGCCTTGCATAGCGGTCATAACTATCTTTTATCATGCTCCGTCTAAAAAGATCAGCGTTGGTTGGCAGCTGCCAAATTAGGCATTTTCAACGCATTTTTTGATTTGAATTGCAGGGATTAGAAGCCATTATAGAATATTTTAAAAATTAAACGCATTAGAAGCGATACATGATGATGATTTAGCATTAGAACGATCATGTTGAGGCTTACCGCACCAAAAGCATTGCGAAGAACGAGTGATTTAACAAAGATTGTTCGCTGATGTCTTTTCGCGTCGTTGAATAGATGAATAAGCAGATCAGGTCTGCTCTGAAAATCAATCTGTTGACGAATAAAATCATTTTTGTATTTTTATTTTGAAGTACTTGTTAGCGTTGGCTCCTTTCAATTTGCGTGGCGTTTGTTGACGATTGCTGCTCATTATTAAACGTTATTTTTATCATTAAAACATTTATAAAGCGCCAATTAAATCAATATATCAATTAAATTCACGATCACAAAAATAACAGCAATTAATCCACGGAAACAGAAATCATTAACAATAATCAAGCCTGATAAATAATTTCAATCCCAATAGCTACACCTTTAAATAAGCTCTTTTTTAAATAATTAACTAGTACTTATTCAGCAATTAATAGAACCAATTAAAAACATTCACCAAAATAAAAAATAAGCAACATCAACCACTCACATTAAAAAGAGAATCAAACACCGAAATAATATACATGTTGCATTTGCATAGTAAAATTCACGAAAACAAAACAAAACCAATAATTTTTCAAACGAAAGTAAATTTAAATCGAGATTTATTATATAAGATGGCGAACTGTGGCACACAGTGGCACCGCAGGCAGAAAAATGTCTTTCTCCAATCCTTAGCTTAGTAATTGGCACCGTCAAGAGATTTGTTTGGTTTGATCTGGGTTGAACAGCTTGGTTTGATCAACCATGCTTACTCTTGTCGAGCATCTGCTGATCAGGAACAGTATTTTTATGGTCTGCTTAGCAAATCAATCGCAATGTTGTAGAAAATTCAGAATCGGGCAGCAAAATTGGTTTTGGTGCTGCAAAGTTTGATCATGTTACTCCTCTTCTCAAAGAGTTACACCGGCCGACAGTAGAAAAGAGTAATGTTCAAAATATTGGTCATCATGTTTAACAGGCAGTGCACCTCCACACCTCGCCTATCCTCAGCTTCGCGTGTGATGCATCGTCTCGCACTCACTCATGCACGATGTTTGTGCCTGTTGTTGGTTTCTCTAAACCTAGGGTTTAAAGACCTTTAATCTTTTTTTATCCATTTTGTTTGCCGAAATTACAAAATTTACTGAAAACCTAAACTCCGAACTATGAGTCACAAAAATTAGACTTACATGTTCGGCTGTCGTATATACTTCTACTAATAATAATTATAATTATTATTATTAACAGTAGTAATAGCAATAATAATAAAAATTAGGAACATGTTTCCGAAGAATATTTTCTTTAAAAAATAAGTTTCGATAAAAGTGAAAGTATTACAATGACAAACGTGAATGCAACGAGAACCTGCCAATAAATACTCTTTCAAATAAACAAAGTATTAAGTCGAGAGAGAGAGAGAGAGAGAGAGAGAGAGAGAGAGATAAAAACAGAAATTTTGGAGCGGTAGTGAAGACGACCGTGGTGCAAAAACATCAGTCGTAAAAACGATCGATGATGAAGATGATTAAAAAGATGATAAACGTAATTAAAGGTTGTAATGGAAATGAGGAAAAATAAAGATGAGAATAGTGAGGGTGGAGATGATGATGAAGGTGAGGGTGAAAAGATAAAGATAAAAATAATGATGAAGTTGAGTATGAAGATGAAAGTAATGATGGAGATAATAATGAAGTTAAAAAGAATGACGAAGATGAAGATGAGGATTATTACATCTCTCATATTTTTCATATTCTGAAAATCATCATGCAGCAACTACGTGACATAGAAGAGCACCGAAGTCTCAATGTCAATTAAAGTAAGGAAAGTATGAGGATGTCATGCGTGGATTACATGGAAAACACGTACTTCATTCTCCATCATATTTCTCTCTCCAGTGCTTGAAGATTTCAAAGTTTTTATACTGCTAAATAAATGGTTCTATAGATAAGATTTTATCCATGCACACATGATTTTATGTTTTTAAGATAGTTTCATGTTATAAATTTTTTATAAGTTGCTTTTTACTATAAAACGTATAAATTTAAAGTTTTCTAATGCTTTGTACTTGCATATGTTTGTATGTTCATACATTTGTAGTAGGAATGCGACGGTTCCGAATCCGGATTCGAATTCGGATCCGAATCCAGGGATTCGGAAAAGATTCGGATCCGCGGATCCTAAATTGAGGATTCGGCGTTTTACGGGTCCAAAATCAACTTAAGCGGCGAGAAAATTTTATCGATTGAGGGAAAAAGTGAATCTAAATATCAACATTGATTACGTAATAATCATTTAAAGTTATGAAAACTGATGTTTTTGAGATTCGTTTTGCACCTCTACAAATTTAACATTCAAAACAAAAATTTGATTTTCGTCAGAGAAACAGCTTATTTAGTTTTATGACCGCATACAACTTGGATCCGGATTCGGATTCGGATCCGTCCGGATCCATCGTCGAGATCCGGATTCGGATCCGGATCCACGGATCCCAAAATCTTGGATCCGTCCCATTCCTAATTTGTAGGATTGTTTTTTTTGTATATGTGTATCTATTTAAGTACATATGATTATACGAGACTCTTTGTGTTGATGCTCTGCGGTGCTCGAGATGGAGGAAGTCTACCCAGTCAGCTGTTTCCGCTTTTGAACTGGCACATACGGCAGCCCTCGTTAAAAAGGGATTTGACAAAAACAGACGGCCCTAAACGGTGATAGTACAAGTGAATGGATTTGTGGAACTTGTACACGGAAATGTTCGTCAAGGATAGGACTTTTTGCTCATTCTAGGACTCACCGCTGACCCAATTCGTTGTTGATTCGACGATGTACCCAGACACGTACGTATACATGTATGTATCTATTTGCTTATGATTGTACGGGTGTATGTATGTAGGAAGTGAAATGAAATAATCTTTTATTCACAACAATTCCAAATAAAATTGTTAAGATAATTGAGACGAAATGCAAACTTTACCGAGTTGTATTAATTCATGTATGTACTTATGTATGTATTTATGTATGTACTTAACTATGTATGTTCGTACGTGCATACAATGTTCACATGTGTTCGTAACAAAACGTGCACCAGTTGTTGTATGGTGAAATGTTTTGAATTCGTCTGGTATCGTCGGGAAGAGCATTTCAACGTCTAATTGACATGTTCCCGTCAATGGAAGAACCTCTCTTGACGAGATTAAATTTATAAAAATATAACTTAAAGACTGTTTGTAATTATTAGCAACTTGCATTTGAGAAACATGATGGTTTTTCCCTATAATGAACAAAACTAAAATTTCAAAATAGGATTTTTTTTATTCAACTTTTTTAATGTTACCATTGACAGAAAACAACAACACAGCAGAGGCACACAATTATCGTTATTTTTTTTATTAACATCAACCACTATTACCATTGTCAACAACGACAGAAACAGAAACATCAACAACAACATCAACAACAACATCAACAACAACATCAACAACAACATCAACAACAACAACAACATCAACAACAACAACAACATCAACAACATCAACAACATCACAATCACTTAACCTTGACTAACGTCCAGTAATCATTCATCATCTGGCTCTGCTGTATAGGTGATGACTCATCATCATCATCATCATTGTTGTTGTTGTTGCTCAGCTGCCAAACTCTCGTTGTGGTTGGTGGTCTTGCCTCTACCACACATCTCAGGTTGACGTTCTTATCTCCGAGGCTGGCTCGAACGTTCCAACAGGTTACAATTGGACGGTCTGAAGTTTTGTGGGAGTCGTTGTCAAAGATGTTTTGCTTGTGTTGTTGTTGTTAGTGTTATTGTTAGTCGCGTTGTTGTTGTTTTTGTTGTTGTTGTTGTTAGTGTTGTTGTTAGTCGCGTTGTTGTTGTTTTTGTTGTTGTTGCTGTTGTTGGTGGAGTTGTTGTTGGTGTAATTGTCTTTGTTGTTTTTGGTAGTGTTGTTAAGTGGTGGGTTTTCGGAAAATAATTTTTGGTTTTCGTTAGATTTATTTTAGTATGAGCAAATTTCAGATGGTGTATTCAATGAGCAGCATAAAATTGACGTAATGTGTCTGAGTAATTTGAGGAACAAACAGAATACTTCAAATCTTTATATCGAAATGTAAAGATGAGGCAGCATACAATGACTGAACAATACACAAGGTAAGAGACATTGCCTGCAAAAGAAGTAACTGGACTCGAAACAGCTATTAGCGTGCTTATAGGCAAATTTTTTCAAGAAATTAAAATATCATACACATGTTGATGGCTTAATAAAAAATTGAATTATTCTCCTGTGAAGGAATGCAAACATGCAGGCGGTTTGCAAGACCACGCAAACACTTCATCATACGTACACTGTGTGTGATAGTCTTTTTAAACTTTGCGTTGAGAACGTTCGAACCGGGTCAGCCAGCACTAACAACTCAAGGCCGAATGCAAAACTTCAATCTGAGCTAATTTTTAAATCATTGTTTAATATGTACCATTTTAGAAATTATGTTTTTCTTAATAAAAAAAATAATTTGAATTGAATTTTTTATAATAGAAACCAGAATATTTTCGAAGATGATTATATTCTGCTGACGTGTGTCAGTCACAAAAACGTGATCAGCCTATAATATAAATGTCTCTGTTTGTGCGTATGTGCACGCGCGCGTGTGTTTGTTTGTTTCCGAATATCTTTATGTCAAAACTACCGTGTTTAGTTTTACAAATATCTAACTATGGGCTATTTAAAAAATCGATATTTGACTTAATTAAGAACAACTTTTTTTAAGGATATGATTTAATTACTTCGATAATTTAAGTTATTTTATAAGGAAATACTTCTAATATGAATTCAATTATTTTGTTTAACTTGATCATTTTTGATGATCATTTTTGTTCTAAGTAATTTCTGCTCATTTTTGGTTAAATTTAACTTGTTTTCATTGGCTAGCTATACGATTTTATTTTTATTTATGTTGTTATTTTCATGTTGGTATATGTTTATATTTGGTTTAGGTGGCCGTACAAGCTCGTTTGAGCTTCTGTGTTTCAATGCTTTTTTTGCTGAATAAAATTGAATTGAATTGTATATCTACATGTGTGTATGTAAATATATATAACTATCGTATTATTTAGATACCACTCTTTATTACTGGCCGCTTTTATTGTGTGTTGTGTTAATTGTCTGACTGTTCACTTAGGTATTGACAGCAGACGTTTGTGTTTTATGTGGTGGTACCATGTGTATTGTTGCTTTGAACTCTTCTGATGATAGTAATCCTTTTATGTACTTGTAAAAGTTTCCAGTTAAATTTCTTTCTGGCTCTTCTTGTTTAGATGCTTCTAACTTTTTATGACTGTATTCTTTGTTTTTATGACATAAATAGTGAAAACATTTGTATGTTTTACAGCAGCTGCCATGCCAAACTTCCAAATGTTGTAGACCACCTACACCCGCACTACCCCCTACGTGTCAGGGGTGTGTGCGTGGGGTCTTCTCCGGGATTTGAAATAAAACATTATTTAAGTATGCTATTTAAACCCAATTTTCTTTTAATTTTGTCTTCTGTCACGCTATCTTTTCGATCTATATATATAAATAAATTATTTTTGATAAATTTTTGATCTTTTAATTTTTTTATTTTAGCTTCTCCAATCTTTTCCGAGTACAAATTTAAATTTTGAAAAATCCATAAAATGTTTTTGTCGTATTAGATACGTATATAACGTTTTTGAAAAATAATTTTGTTATTCGGATCAAGTTTTGCATGTTTTCGTAAAAAAAATTAAATAATTTATCTCCATCTTATTATAATAACGATTGCAAACTAAATTCACAGAATTTTATATAAAAATAAACACGAATAGTTGAATACGAAATTTAAGTCGTTACTTAATTAAATTTATTGAAATATTCAATCAGCTATAAATCTTTTGCAATATTTAAATTTAACCATAAAAATCTGAAAAAACCCAATATGCTATGCTACTTGTTAAGTTCACATCACGCACCAAAAGTCGTTTCAGTTGGGATTCGGAATAGAACCTCTACCTAATCCATCACAAAATCAAAATATGAAAAAATGATCATGGAACTTTGCTGTCCTGACGCTGTGCCTGCCTTTGGCCGAAAGGTAGTTACAAAAATTTGATTTCTACACCTAAGTAGGAAGCTCGCAGTAGAATAGATGGTCCATATAAAAAACTTTTATAATAGATATATCAAAAATATCAAATTTAACAAACCAAATCCGTTACAATTAAACCAACTGCAAAAAATGCGTCATCTTTTCAACATTCTAAGGTGATTACAAATTATTTTAAAGTTAAAAAAATATCACACTAAAACAAAATCAAAACATCCTTGCTTGCTGAACAATTTCTGATAACAAAATGTTACAAATAACTTTAAACAGAGTTTCACTGCAAAGTACAACATTAGATAAATTATTTTATTTTACAAAGAGTCGATCCACTAAGTTTGCAATTTATGAAGCTCCACTCTCAATCAGCTTCGAGTTAATGAAACAAACTGCCAACACAAAATTTAACTGAAACGAAACATCCTAATCTTCTGAATAATTTTTGATCTTTAAGGCTTTCAAAAACGGAATTTAAAGGCAGAGTATCAAACTCAAAATGAAGATGTCTTATCTTTTCCTACCGTCCAGCTATCAGAGATCCACCTCATAAAAGCATGTGCAGACGACCTATGGCGGACCTACTAAATTTTTGTAATAAATAATAGTAAAACTCAGTTTTTACTCAAAAATATTGTTTTATATAGAAAATCGACCAAAAATTTACGTCGTGATAAAGCAAAAAATGTCGCCAGCCTACTTGTCTTAGCCCCCATGTCAAAATTTTGGCCCCCCCGTCAAAGTTGTTTAGATCCACCATTGCAAACGACTGCGCATTTATCCAAGATTGAAATTACATCGCAACAATTCTCTTTGTGTGAATAGCAAATGAAAATGTTTGTATGGCTTACCAACTCGTGATGAATTAAGCCATAACTCTACTACATACAGAAAAATAAATATTTCATTAGCTCTCAACAATTCTCGTTTTTGAAAATACATTTTGAAAGAGATGTAGTTGGAAACGTTAGTTTCACAAATCACAAAAATGAAGGATCTGTTTTTTTAAGTTATTTAAGATTCATCAAAAATTGTTTCAATATTACACTCGTCCACTTATGTTTGAATTACAAATCAGACATGTTTGCACATGTAGCGTTCGTGTTGTGAGAGTGCCAGACTGTACGAGCACATTCTCTTACTGCATCAAGATCCCAGCGCGATTAAATTTTTTATTTGTCGATATTTTGAATTAACTCCGGTGCACCGAACGAATAAAACACACACGACATGCAGAGAACTCTAAGGGAGATAAAAATAAATAGAACGCGTTCGTCTGTACGTGAAATGCGCAGATGAAAAATAATGAGCTGAATAAAAAATAAAAAAAATCATACCAATAACTAAACAAAAGATTTGAGACGAAGTCATAAAAATGAACTGGCATATTTTTTGTTATCCAAATGCTGTTATGTTGGACTGACATGTTGTTTACAGGCAGGTTTAAATTAAGCTATCTCCATCACAGAGACTATTTATCCAGCGAGACGTGCGAAAACATTTACACGCCGGCAGAGGAAGCGTTGTTTGAACCCGAAACAAATTTACGGTTTTTTTAAATTTTTGTTTGGAAGAATTGTTAGAAGATGCGACGTGCATTACTCCAGAACGAATGAATGGAATGCTGTGACAAGTTAATTAGGCAAACATTCACGCATATATTCAGTCAGGAATGCTGCCGTATGTTAACAAGTAATTGTTTATGTGCTTGTCAGTATACTCAAATATGTACATGTTCTTGTAAGTTGGTGTGAAAATACATCGGGAAGCTATCAACAGCTTGTTTACGTGATTGCTTCCCAGTCGATCCTGACAAATGGCTTCCAACACGAACTCCGAATGGTCCCATTGCTTCTTTCCCGGACACAATCTCACTCGAAAGATAGACATCAGCTTGTAACGCCTCGTAAAGCTCACCAATCCAACTTGTTCATCCACGAAAGGGATGTTGCCAGCCAGCCAGCCAGCCAGCCAGCCAGCCAGCCAGCCAGTCGCCTGTATTTTTTGACTTTATTATTTCAATTTTTAATTTTTTTCCTACAATGGCGTTCATTGTTCAGACAACAAATATTTACAGCATTATCCTCTTCCCGTTTCATTTCCTTTCAAACTCTAACTTACTGCCTCTCATTACAAACAATGCTCGCCACTTTTGCTTAAACACATTTTATGTTTTTGTTTTCATAAATTTGAAACGCCAAATTATTAAGTTGATTTGGCTAATTTAAAAATTTAATAAAACCCTATATAATTTATAAATAATAATAAAATCGGTAAATTTGAAACGCAAATTTTATCAATTTTAACTTTGTGACAAGTGCGTTGTTAGTTCTTGATAAATATTCAAACATAAGCATGATATTTGATAAACTCCACACAAGGCATATTAATAATATAAGATGCACACGGTTAAACATAATGAACATGTGCCGAACCGATGATTTCTACATTATAGATGGATGACTCGTTCGTTTGTTTCATTCAACTGCTTCATCTTTCTTTCCATATCGTTTTGTTGCTTCGTAAACATTTGACGGACCAAACAAAACTCTTTAATAATAACTTTCCCGCACTAGGCGAATCTCGCACTTCGAATGTCCCACTTCATCTCTGCCTCGAGTCACATGCATCAGTAACATTATATCAGACAATCATGAAAAAAAAACAAATTCAAAAACTCAAAAAAATGTTCATTAAAGCATGCTTACAATAAAATTAAACTCTTAAAAATTAGTCTGTTAGGCCCCGTTATAAAATTTCTGCTTAACACTTTTTTCATTCAAATTGCAGTCTTGATGAATGGCAATTAAATTTGAAAAATAAAATCTGAATAATAATCCAGTTTCAGATTGAATTTTATCATAAATGAAACCAAATTTATAAAGAGTAAAAGCTAGTGAATGATTCTATAGAAAGCAATATAAAACAGTTCGAAAGAAAAATTACTTCAAGTTGGAAGCAATTGAGAAAATGTATCTATCGCACACAAGAAGTTCCTTAAAAAATTACAATATTATTTTCATTGAATTTTAAAATTCAAGTTATGGATTCAATAGCGCATAAGTTAGGCTTAACAAGACCAATTGCACAATTATATATACATTCAAACGAAAACTTTAACCCTTATCTGAGCACATTTAAGTACGTATGTAAAAACATACGTACGTTAACTTACGTATGCTTGTTCATTGAAACATGTCCAAACTTAAATTTAAACTGATTAATGCCAACAATTCATTAAATTGATTAATGCCAACAATTCGGTAGAATGTGTACAATGTATAAAATGCGGTCTCCTTCCAACATTTACATACGTGCGTACATATATTTACGTACATATGCCCATGTATGCACTGCATATGTATAATACATGGTACATAGAAATGGAAAATCGTACATACACATACGTACGTTTATCCATGCAGGGTGCACAGAGGAAAGGATCAAGTTCATGAATACAAAGAAGATCTGATCAGAGATACTTTCCTATCGAACGATTGCGACTGCCTCGTTATATTAATATTACATTATCACATTGGTATGCATACATTTGTGTGTGTGTGTTGTGTATGTTTAACATTATTGCTATTTTGTACCGCTGCTTTTATGAGTTTATTCTAAATTTCAAAATCGGTGAGATTTAATTAAATTAAATATATATATATATATATATATATGTGTGTGTGTGTGTGTGTGTGTGTGTGTGTGTTGGTAATAGACCATAATTTTTACAACATTCTATAAATTCTACCGAATGTTTGGCGTTATAGTTGATTTGACAAGTCTTGAACTACCTTCTTTTAGTTTAACTTTAGTGAGAAAAATCGAAAAAACGAACTACAAACATATTAACGCCAAACATTCGGTAGAATTTATAGAATATTGTAAATATATATATATATATATATATATATATATATATATATATATATTAATACATAAGTAAACATATAAATAATATATATAAATATATATAAGTAAAATACGAAAATTAACAAAAGATTTCAAAAGCGCTCCCCCCAAAAAAAAACAGAAAAGAACTATCAACTGTTTAAGTCAAAATCAAAAATCCAAATGAACATTGTTAATTCAACGGAAAGTAATAAGTTTTCAATTTTTTTTAAATAAAATCAAAGGTACATTTTGTTTTGTTAGCAAAATTAGCAGGTTGTTTCAAACGACTGGACCAGCAACGGCGATGTCAGGCGATCCAAATTGAAATTTTATAGCAAGTGCAATTAGGAGGTTGATATACCATCTGATTTCAAACACTGGCCCAATGCAGATGTTTTTTGCTGAATTTGCACGGTAAATATTCTATTTCTGATAACACTTTCATCTGTTCTTTCTGAACGCTGTAGAAGCAACTGACAAATAAGTTTCAACCGATCTGGCATTAAACTTTGATAACTGCTGCTATGCACCGACTGGGAGCAACTCAGTTCTGCCCCAATCCAACCTCAAACAATTTCCCGGCATCCAACATTTGATATTCAACGAACATTTAGATGGTTTATCAATTTCACATAGAAATGACTCTGGTCAACCGCTGGCTATCTTTGGTGCATCATCTGCATACACGACGCGAGTTTATATATGTTTGTATGTGTGTGTGTGTATACGTGTTTTGTGTGTTTGTGTGCCTATACGTAGTTATATAATATACATTAATAATTTTCATAAATAAATTTTTCACGAAAATTTTAATAATCCTATTTATTGCTTTATAAAAGCATATTTGTACCAAATGGAAACAACATCGGATGAAAGAAACTTTCAATCCCGGCAGACAATGACATGATTATGAGCTGGATGATAAGGGCTTAGCACGGTCGCTAGCATGTTGTTTTCATTTGTGATTAGAAAATTCAATTAACACGTGATGAGCTTAAATTGGGAACTTCGAAGAATTTTATAACTTGAAGATTTAAATGAAGTTGACTTTAGAATGCTTAATAGTTCAAACGAAATTAAAGAACAAAATTATAAAAATAATAATTTTTCACCACAAAAAATTATTTTAATGTGATTAAAATGACAATATTGTTTTGGTAACATAACTCAAACAATTTAAAATAAACAAATCGTTTTGAAACAATTGCATGATTCGTCTGCACCAGGTCGTTTAGACATATTGTACTGTGCGAGTATTTTGTATGAACGGCCGTGAATAACTTCGATAAATATAGCTTGGGATGAAATAAATAAACAATGTAAAAAATTAGAAATTCAGAAGTGAAAACCTGTTTAAAACTTGAACCATATAAATGTCACGCACATTAACATGCATCAACAAGCAACCAGTCGCACAAACACACTGTGTGAGCCATTCATACAGATAAACACGCCACACTTTAAAGCACAAATATGCACAAGTATTAAAAAATAATTCCACACATTGTATACAAAAAAGAAACACATATTATCAATCAATGAATGAGAAATGTTTGAAAGAAGACAACACAAAACAGTCTCGGAACAAGCAGCAGAGCAGGCTACAGAAACAAAATAACCACAAGGGCTGATTTCTTTTTTAAAAATCTTCCCGTTCCTTCAGTCTTGTGTTACTTGCTCTGAAAACATTTTATTGAAAATCTGAAAATGTTGCCGTTGTTGTTGCTGCTGAGATGTCAATATTGATGTTGCTGCTGGCAATGCTTTCAAACGAGTGAAACTTTCTTGAAAGTAAATAAAAAACATTTAAACAATGTAACTAAAAAACTATATGATAATTGTGAAGATTTCTCTAATAATAAGAAAATGTAAATAATGAATTAGAATGTAATATTTCCATAAAAGCGTAAAACGAAGTTGCCTCTGGGAACAAAATACATACAAGCAAAAGCGAAATTAAAAACTGAAAAATAATTTTTTTCTGTTCCAAGTACTTTTTTGCACTGACATCGTGTGAAATTAGGCCGTTTGATCGACATTTTGGCTGGAGGGTGAACGCGGCATTTTGCGAACATTCAAATCATGAGATGAGTTTTTGGAGCATGTGACTTATTTATTCTCCTTTTAAAACAAATTTCAAACGGATTCAATACATTTCAAGATATTATTTAATTAGGTAAGTGAATAATTATTTTTCTACGGAACGTCATTTTCATATCGTGTATAATTTTTATTATCGGTTTTTTTTAAAAAGCATCCGTGTTATGCTGAATCTTTTTTGACTTTGGGATCTTAATAATTGTGTAAATAGAGGCAGAATCCATTCCAATCTTTCATAAATCCATCCTCATTTTTAAATTTATTCTACGCTAATGGACTTTTCAAACGTAGCTTCAATATTCCACCATTTAAAAAAAAATAACCTGCTTCGACTCTGTCTATCGGACCGAAGGTTTCCTATTAATTTTAAACATTATTGCCAGTTTAGTTTGCAGTGTGCTTCAAATTTTAATAAAAATATATTTTTCTGCTGTTCTGTGAAAGAAAATGTAAACTTTATCATTCAATTCATCGCCGGCAAAATAGTCTTTATTTCTTTGCATTCGTCGTGAAATGAAGAGTTTTTCGGCGAATAAAATGAATCATTTATCATACTCCACGTGTATTCACTGATTGGCTCTGGCAAAGATTTCAACATCATCTACATTCCACCACAATGATCACAGTCATCACCCTCATCATCGTCACCACCATCGTCATCATCATCATCGTCATTTCATCATCTTTATATTTATTATCATCAACATCATCACGATCGTAGTCAATGTTCTTGTTAATGCCCTTGCATCATCATTATCATCATCATCATCATTACTTTCAATATCGTTACCATCATTATTGCTGTTGTTATTATTATTATTATTACCATTATCTGCACCATCATCACTACCATCATCATCACAATTGTTGTTTTGTTAAGTTATCATGAACTAACTTCTGGGCCACCCATGGGATTGTATGTGTTTGTGTGTATGTGTTTGTGTGTTTGTGTGTGTGTGTGTATGTGTTTGTTTGTGTGTGTGTATGTGTTTGTGTGTGTATGTGTTTGTGTGTGTGTTTGTGTGTTTGTGTGTGTGTGTGTGTGTGGTGTGTAGAGTGTGCGTGTTAGTGCGTTCCCCGATGTATGTTTGTTTTCTATTGTTTTGTTCCTCACTTTCTCTTTTGTTTTGTTTTGTAGCGTTATTTTTTGTTGGAAATTTTTAAGGGGTGTGATAGTAGATATAATGGTGTGATTGTGGTGGTGGTTGTGATAGTTGTAGTGGTTGTCAAAAAAACATTAGCCATAATGTTTAAACAAAGAATTACATTTTGTTACTCATAATTTTTGTTTTTATGTTTTTTTTCGGTGAGTTGTTAAAAAGCCGTTGATTTGGTTTTTTTTTAATTTTTGTCTCATTTTTCTAACAAAACAGGTGTTTGTTAATTTTTTAAACAGGTTAGTTAGATTTAAAATTAATATATCACGGCATGGTATTCACGAAAACTTTTAAGCAATTCGAACGATGAAGCATTGATTGACTCCAGCAAACTCCTGCAACTTGAAGCCATTGTGATGACGAATAAATTGGGAAAAGTGAGGTCATCAATCAATCCAACAACTGAACAGCAAATCCGAAATAGCACATTTTGTTCTGAAGTAGGTTTTAATTATGGAGCGAGATGGATTGCTGCCTACCTCCTTGTTATACACTCACGTTTCATGCCAGACGCTTACATCGATGGAGATTCACTTTAGCGGTAACATCTCCTCATCAGAACAATTTTCATTTTTTAAAAAAAGTTAAAACATACATTTACATAGAAGCGAATGAATGTAATTTTCAGAAATTCATTCCATTTAGAGGAAAAGTGACAGAATTAAACGAAAAAAAGAAAGACGAATCAAACTCACAAAGGACGACGAGGTTGTATGAGATGAAGTGGTGCAGGTTGAACGGCTGGGCGGCAAGCACCGAACAGCGAACCTGCCTGCCATCGTCGGTCGGCTGCACTGCAAATGGCAGGGTGGTGATGGAAAGTTTGTGGAGGATCAACCGCATGCCCACCGCCCCCGAGTCCTCCAGTAACGAGACAGTTCTCAAGATGTTGTTGTTGTAATGGTCGTTAATGTTGTGGTTGATGTCGTTGTTTGTGTTGTTGGTTGGATTGATGTATTTGTTGTTGATGTCTGATTTGCTGTTGATGTTGTTGAGTTGGCTATTTAAAATGTTGTCGTTTGGTTTTGTTGCAAAAGAAAGATGGCTGTTGTCGGATGAGATGCTGTTGCTTCGTTTGTTGTGCTTTTTATTTTTTTTATTTTTAACGTTTTTGTGTTTTAAATAAAAATTTTTGCGAAATTTTTTTTCAGAAATTGGATTAATATTTCCCTGGTTATCAGCGACAAACTTTTCACGCAAGTTGGAAGAGAAATTTTTTAATCTAAATTCAGAGTTAATGAGGCTGAAATGTAAAATATCCTTTTGTCTCACTGTGTTGTTGCTGTTG